AAGTTGGCATGCAACCCCAAGGGTTAAACTGCAATAAAATACAAGCAACCATGAGCCAGAAGTACCTGAGAGTAACAGGACCAAGTCTCCAGAGCTGCAACAGACAGCAGGGCACTGGTTTAAAAGCATACCTTTACCTCCAGCACGTGTTTCCCATCACTAAAACGCGTCATCACAGAAGTATCCCGCTTCCAACTGCGGAAACAGGTTCACTTGATCTAAGCACAAGCTATAGGTAGAGCTCTGCTGACAATACAGATGCTGGATGTGCACAAGAAAAACAAACAGCAAACCCACATGTTTAAGGTCTGCCTTGATGTTTTGAGCTGAGACTCACAATCTGCATCAAAACAGTGGCATTGCCCAGGAAATACCTTGGTGACAACTTTGGTGCTACCTTATTTAAACCTTAATTTAAAATGCTAACTTCATAATGAGTGGAACAAAACTGTGTAAAAACATTTCCCACTCTAATCCTGGTTTGATCCCCCCAGTATGGCCTTCTTTTGTAATTACATCCCTTTGTGATCTCACTCTAATGCCTTGTATTGTGACCCATAAAATAATCAGCCCCTTTTGTCTCTCCCTAATCCTTTTAGACTTCCTTCTTGTCTCTATACTCTTATAAATGCTGCCATTATTTGGGCTCAGCAGCTCTTCCCACCACCCCAGAGCCTGGAAAGGGGGCTGCAGGTTAAACCCTGAATATATTCTGTGCAGAGGAGCTGAAATGATGAGAAGATCTTTCCTGCTTTAAAAACCCTGCAATTCTCAGCCTCCTCCCTTAGCCACACAGCTTGGCAGGGAAAACAACTTACAAGCATGAATATCCACCAGACCTCCTCCCTTTTTAGACTTTGCAGATGACCTTGAGACCCATGGCCTGGAGGTCGCAGTGGCCAGTGTCTTTGCAGGCAGAATCTGCTTGGCCCCAGGCTGGGCAAAGAGGAGCTGCTGCTGCTGCTGTCTGCAGGGATCAATGCAGAGAAAAGACATCACATCTGCCTTGCCCAGGCTATCAATCCTGCCTTCCTGCTGGCAGGGTAAGTGCTGTGGATGGCCCAGCACAGTGGGATGGAGGAATGGGATTTAGGGCAGGATGCAGAAGAGGAGGAGGTAAAGGCGCAAAGTAAGGCACAGGGACACGTGGTGCTATGCTTGGCTTTAAAACATTCCCTCCACAGCAAGACACGATAAGGAAAGCATCTTTACAAGCCCAGATCTCTCCAGAGCTATTCCCAGATCCCACAGTACCTCCAATATTGGGTCCATTTTGCCAAGCTTCAAGAAACCTCTTTGGCTCCGAGTTGCACAATTGACTTACTTTCCCTCTTTCCTTTTTTTTTTTTAAATAGCACCAAATCAAACAGGGAAAATTGCTCTTCTCAGCCCAGATGTGTTGCGGAGCCTGATCCGATACCCAGTTTGATGGTGATTTCCAATTAGTGGTAACTGCTTGTTATTGAGTGATATAATCAATGGGTCTCACTCCACCGGCCAGGCTGTGATTTATGATGATGCAGAGCCAGCTCCATCAAATTACAGCATCAGCAAAAAGGGCTGGAAATACCATGAGACAACATGATCAGAGTCAAGTAAGGCCAAGTTAAGCAAAGGGTGGTGATGAGAGGAAAGGCAGCTGCATTTTTGGGGAGCTCACCTTCCAAAGGAGTGGACTCTAGCTGTTACTATTGCTCAGAGGGTATTTTCATCCACAGACAGCAAAGGCGTGCATCAGCTTCTGGCTTGCACAAGGGAAATACAGCTCCTCGAAGAGAACACCCTGCCTACAAACTGATTTTAATTAAGACAGCTCGGAGTCATGCGAAATTACGAAAGTGTCACTGGGAGAAAGAAAAGAATCTGTATTCAATAACCTGATCAGATTATAAAAACATGTTGCATTCCACAACCTTTTAAACCAACACGCCAAGGGTTTGAACAGACGCCCAAAGAGCAACTGAAAAAATTCCAACCAGTGTTTTAGGCAGAGGGTGGAAATGCTGAGGGCCTCTGCTCAACTCAACCACACACAAGCTTCTTGCACCCTTGTATTTGTTCAAATAAGGTTATGCTACAAAAATATTATCGATATCTTTAGCATCCGACCTGCCAATCCACCAACCAGTCAATGTTCATTTCCCTCCACTGAGTATCTCTGGTTAATAATGATGACATACAGAAATTCCCTTGGATTTTAGTTAAATAAATTTAATGAGTCAATTTTTTAGGAAGAAGGTTTTAGGAAGCTGCAGCTCTGTGAGGAAACTGCATTCACCTCGAGCCCATCGGGGCCGCACGCGCAGCGGCTGAGAGCAGCATATTCTTCCAGTTAAATTTTACTCAACGCCAAGTGTTGAAGTCAATTTGAAACATAAAAATATGATATCCACTCCACATTTCCTGAATGCAAATATGTACATTCCTCCGAGCCAAGAAGATTATATTCCAAGTAATAATACAAAGCCAGGGTCTGTAACGGTGATATGAGACTAACAGCCTGCCTTTGAAGACAGCGAAAAGTACAGCAGAGCTCTCGAGGGGCTCCGCTCTGGCAGATCCTTTTTATTCCTCAGTAGCAAGGCCTTGATCAACTTTCAAGATTTTTGTTTGTGAAAGGGTTTTTTTATTTCTCCTCTGCTTTTGCGTTCAGATGTCAGGCTCAGAGGGAAGAAGAGAGCAGCACTGGGATGAGGTTTTACCCACTGGCAGTATTTACTCTGATTCGCAAAGTTCTGCTTAGCACTTGTTTGGTTTGGGTTTTATTTTCCTTTCCAGGCAGCCAGCATCCATTTCTTCGATTTCTTCGGTTGCCCAAGGAAGTTGTAGATGCCCCCTCCCTAGAAGTGTTCAAGGCCAGGCTGGATGAGGCTTTGAGCAACCTGGTCTAGTGGAAGGTGTCCCTGCTGATGGCAGGGGGGTTGGAACTGGATGATCTTTAAGATCCCTTCCAACCCAAACCAGTCTGTGATACAACAGTCCCCTCATTTCTAAACCAGGGATAATTACCTTCCTCCTCCTGGGTTTGAGTAGTTTATCAGGACTTGGGGCAAGGAAAATCGCTGTTACATGCATGTAACCACCCTGAGACATGGGGACTCAAGGGTACAACTGTGATTCATTCTTAGGAGATTTCATCTACCCTGGAACCAACCCCTAAGTGCAAGCGTGTGCTCCTGTGGTTGAGGCACAGCGGCGGAGCTCGCCCTGAGCAACAGGTCACATTTACCCACAACATCCCGTTTTATTCCCGTTATCCGCAGGCACCTGCGGCATCAAGGCCAGGTGCCTCCTGTTTGGTGCTGGCTTCACCCAGATCTTTTCTCAGGGCTGGCAAAAAACCAAGCCTGAAGCAAGAACAGAATCCAGAGCGTTTTCAACATGATCCCCTTTTCATTTTGATTCACGTGAAACTACGGCTACAAAAGGAAACGCTATTCAGGGACACACAGCACATCACATACATATTGATGCAGGAGCTGAGATAACAGTGTTTATTGACAATCCACCATCCCAAAGGTAATTCCTCCAGCTCTCATGTCTCCTGTTTACAGGTCCGAGAAGTTTGACATTGTGCTTGTGCGTCAGCCAACTCCCAGCTCATAAATGCCAGAGCCGTTCACCAAAAGTGCTCCAAGGTTTAGCACCACAAGACTGACGAGTTTGAGATCCAGCTGCTAATCTGGCACGGACCCAAAGCCCTTGGCTCCTGGACAATGTCACTTCTTACACTACTGAAAAGCTAGGTTTGCAGATGGCCACTTCATGCACTCGGGGATTGTTATACACAAGGGTTGGAGTGTTCCTTTGGTGAGCTGCCAGCCGGCCCTGGCGCTGCAGGGAGCAGGCAGCAGCGCTCCGAAAGGCTCCTCAGTTTGGGAAGTGCAGCCAGGAGACCCCAGCCCCAGACTTTGCCACAGGCTTTGCATCAAAAAAAAATCACAGTGCACTTTGCAAAAGCAACAGAAGCAGCAGTAAGTGGCTTGCACAGAAAGAAGAGTGGGAGCCATCACCCAAACAAGTTGAAGAACCCTTCAGTAGGACTCATTATCAAGCCAGTATTAGGCCAGGTCTCCAGACACCCATCCTCACACCCAGATATAAATCACACACCCAGCAGCAACTTCTGGTTGAATGCAAAAAGGATTAATAGCTTCACTCCCAGAGCTCACAGACAGTCTGTGGACAAAGCTGGCCACCAACACAACAGGCACAGAAACCACCACAACACCTCAGCTCTGGTGTGAGTTTGTCCCAGGACTGCAATCAGAGCCAGCACGAGGGAACCCAGCAGCTTGCGTGGCAGGAGACCCACCATGACCAACTGCTCCAGCCACAGCAGTGCAACGGGCTAAGCTGAGTACTGCACAGAGCTGGAATCACAGCCTGCCCTGTAATTCTTCCTCTCCCACCTTTAAATTTCATTCCCTCGCTGACATTTTCATCTCTCTCCTCCTCTGGGCTCCCCCAGCAGACAATCTGTCTGGTGTTGTTAGCCTTGCCCCCAAAGGCACTGCCATGCTGGGTAGTAAATAAGACCTTGCTGCCTCCACACTGCCTGCCTTAAATAACAAAATGAAAGAGACCATGACCTTCAAAAGGTCTTTGCCTATGGTTTGGAACGTGCTGCCTGTCAAGCAGAGCCCAGACGTGCTGCAAAGCATAGGGGCTTCCAAACCCACTGCAGGAGATACACAAACCATGGACTATTTCACCACACAACTTTAACATAACTCACTCCTCCCAGACAGGGAATTTACTGCTAGAAGGTGGCTTTTAGTTTTCTCCCCCTGAGAAGGTTGATCAGCTTCTTCTTTCACACCTGAACAGCTACACAGATTAGATGCCAGCCTGATCCCCACATCAGCTCTAGGTTCTTTTTTCTCTTCTTCCCCTTAAATCTTCCCTCCCTGAACATCCAGCACCCACCACACTGTCCTCCTCCTTCCCAGCAAAACCAGTGCCCCACAAGGTGTAGTTGGGACAATGCCTGTACTTACTCGCTGCCTGGATCTTCGCTTTCCGGCTCACCACCAGCCCGTAGTGGTTTTGTGCCATGCAGTCGTACTCTCCTTCATCTGAGGACCCATCTCCCCGGATCCTTTGGAAGCGGGAGACGTAGAGTGACCCGTTGGCCAACATGAAGGCGTTCTCGCTGTCCATGATCATCACACCGTTCTTCCGCCACGTGATGGTGATGGGCTGGATGCCCTCCACCTGGCAGTAGAGGATTAAGGGCTGCTCCTGCACAGCTATGTCATCACTAGGCTCCACCACGAACGCCAGCTCGGAGGAATGGCCAAAATCTAAAATGAAGAGAGAAGGACAGAGTTAGCAGTGTGTCCACACAGAGCCAGCAAGAGCCAACTGCTACAGCAGCTAACAGGGGATGATGAAAACATTTCGGATAGAGAGGGCTGCAATAGGGCTACAGGGTGTGAGTGTTTTGGAGAAACACAAAACCCTCGGGCATGCTTTGCCTCCCAAGGATTTGCTCTCAAAATTTCGAGGTACAATTTCCAGAGGCACAAACACAGACACAGACCTTCAAGGCTGTGTTTGGAGACAGGGGACGGGCAGGCACACTGCTCTGGTGGCTTGCTAAACCCCAGCTCCAATTCATACCCCCCTGCAGATCACTTTTTCACTTCCCTTTGCAGGGAAACAGCAATACAGAATTCAGACTTGCACAAGCATGGCAGTGCTTACTTCACATCAGCTTTTCACAGAATCACAGAATCATAGGGGTTGGAAGGGACCTCATCCAGTCCAACCCCCCTGCCAAAGCAGGTTCC